TGAATGGGAAGCTGAAAGTCCAGAAGGAAACACTGGCAGCAGCAGCACAGCCCAGCCAGAGATACTTGGAGTGAGTGATGTGCCCTTAAACAGGTAGTGTTCCCTTTTTGTTTGCATTTATTTTTAGTAAGCATTGACCCGGAGGTACAGGGTTTCCCGGGGGGGTTGGGGGGAGTTCTTTTTTATTATTAAATATTTAGGTAAGGCAGAAGCCTGCAATTTTTGTTGGACTTCATTGGGAGGACAGGGAGTGTGGCTGCTAGGGAAGTGCAGAGGAAACCTTGAGGTTCAACCAGGCTAGAACCCCTGCCCCAGACAGGGCAGATGACAGAGAGAGGATGGAAACTGGAGAGGGCTGGAGCTCCTAAGCTGGGTCCTAGCAAAGTGGGCCTGTGGCAGATAGAGCCCAGCTAGAGAAAAAGGGGCTGGGGGTGAGGAATAGTCAAAACCCCAAAGGGTGCTTGCAGACAGTGACTGATTTAGTGTTAATTAAGTGAGAAGCCTCCTAAAGCTGACATTGCATAAGATCCGTGAGGCATGGTCGTAATTATGGGGGCTGCTGGAGGTCACAAATTTAGCCTTTACGGTACATAGGGCTAGACAATACAGAGTGAAAGAGAGCAAGTGCAAGAGAGTGAGCACCTAGGCTCCCCAGCCTCAGAGGGCAGCCTCCCCTCCTTACTTTAACAAGGCATGGCAGGAAAGACCCTGGGACGCTGGAATAGGAGCATGACAGGATAGGGGTGGCCAAGAGTGGGGAGTGACAGCAATCCTGGGTGCCTTTTCTGTTATACTCCCCATTACCAGGTTTCCACGAATCTAGTTTTTCTAGGTCAAAACCCTAGTTGCCAAATTGTGTTTCCCAAATATACGTACTTTAAAATATCCTTGCTTTAAGATAAGGTTCCAGGTAAAAAAAAAAAGAGGTGCACCAATACATCAGTCCAATATCAGAACAGTGCTGATATGAAGAAGATTGTCTATATCAGCCCTATGGGACCGATAATTTGGGTGATAAATGCCCATGCTGCATGCAGCCGCAGCGCGGCACAGAGCAGAGCCGGCAGTGTGAAGAGCTGCCTCCAGCTAGCAAGTCAGTTCCCCGCTGCTTGCACCGTGGGAGGGCAGGGGCGTGAGGGGGGAGTACGGTGTGTGCTCCCAGATCTGTGCGCAGGGCAGGCTGCAGCTGCCGGGCGGGCGTAGCCGAAGCCAGTACTGCATGGGGCTCTTCTCACTGGGGGCTGGGCTTGGAGTGGGCTCCATCAGCACTGGGAAGAGGCTGTAGTCACCCCAAATTTCGCCTTAGCTCTGCTCTCAGCCCCGCGCCACCAGGCACAGCCCTAGCTGAACACCCCTCCTCCACCCAAGCGCTGGGAAAAGTTGCGGCTGCGCAGGACAGTGACACGGGTCTGGGAGTGGAGTTGCGGCGAAATCTGGGGTGGCTACAGACTCCTCCCAGTGCCACTGCAGCCTGCTCTGAGCCCAGCCCCCAGCAAGAAGAGCTTTGTGCAGCACTGGCTCTGGCTTCACCCCACAGCTGCTGCCTACCCCATGCAGTGCAGGTCCAGGAACACACGTCACCCCCCACCCTCCCAGGGTTCATGCAGCAGCAGGAGCCACCTCCACCCCACAAGCTGCGCCTCCATGCTGCATCTCCCCTGCCCTGGTTGGGCAGCAACTTGTACGCAGAGGCAACACTCAGATACGTGACCCTTGTCAAAATGGCACCTGGAATGACAAATGGTGATGGCCACTGCTCTGGTAAGGAGAGGAGACAGAGCTTAAACCCTGAAGTAATTTTGAAGTTTTGTACCTGGGGGTCTAGTAGAGAAGGAGGAGGACAGAAA